AGCACTGATGCTAACCCAGCAGCTAGCTACACCTGGTACAAGGAGCATGAAGACTCACCACGAGCATCAGGACAGATCTTCACCATCACTAACTTCACAGCTGAACACAGTGGAAATTATTACTGTGAAGCCCAGAACGAGATGGGACGTAGTAACTCCACCTTACTTCTGATTACTGAGTCTGGTGAGTTTCTCCATGACAGGAATCGTCTGATCAACAAACAGCATCTCCTGCACGTTTATCCATGAATCAAGTCCTTCTGATGAGGTAACGTGCTGTTTGTTTAATAACTGTGTGTCTCCAGCTGTTGATAGAACAACAATGATAATTCACATCACCAGGTGGACTCTGGTCTTTGTGAATCCGATTGTTCTGCTTCTCTTTTGTCTGTGGACGAGGTAAAACAACTAGAACTCATCCTCACTGAGCTTTTACTTTGAAAAGGTCCATCAATCTATTTGTGTATCTGTTTGTTTTATGACTGAATGCAGGAAGAAGAAAGCTGTGAGCTCCACCACTGAACCACATGAGTCCAGAGAGGCTGTGGAGGTGAGACATTTGTCCTCAGAGACAGAACTCACCAAAGGGTCATCGTCTGTTGTTATTAAGTCATGAAGATAATTCAGAAGTAACTTCATCACTAACATCTTTCTCCTTTTGAACCACCAATATTTATTTACCACGTTTACTGCAAATGTCCTTTGAATCCAAAGAGCGATTTAAAGGACAAAGAGTCGTATTGACCATCAGCTAAGCCCCTCCCCTTGGTTACTGTTGCCAGGTCTGTCCAGCTTCAGCATCACAGCGCGTAAACATGGCGGTGAAATGTCGGGATGCAAACCAGCAACGTTTACATTTCAGTCATACAGACTTTTACTAAATACGCTTGTGTCTTCACCAGAAGCACATTTAGGAAAAGATTATGAAATACTTGGTTAAGTTCAGGCAACAAAACTACCAGAGTTTAGGAATAAATATTAGTTAGCGTTAAAATAACTAATTTAAAGTACTGAAGTCACGAGACAAAGTTGTACTTGTTTCACACCAGGAACAAACAAGGATCTCCTGGGTGACAGATTTATGTTTCTTACACATTAATGAGAATAATTCATATTCGACTGTCATGCTAAGCTAGCTAACGCTATTAGCATCTTACCTCGGAGCAAACAAAGGAGTTTTTATTGATCGTTGATGGATTCAGTCTTCCACATGTTTAATCCATAAGTGACATCAAACCTCTAAAGGCCCCTGGTCCCTAGTTACGGTTGCTAACGTAGGAATGTACAGTGTGCGTTGGGGGAGGGGCTTAGCCGAGGGTCGGTTGTATCTGAACTGCTTCTCTGAGGCCTTTGACTCTCATCGTCTCTCCATCAGATGGACCTTCATCCTGAGTATGAGGACCTCTCAGACATGGCAGCACAGAGAGAAGACCCAGAGGAGCAGGAGGACCAGGTGTGAAGGTCAGCCAGGTGTCAGTCTGCTGCAACTCAAATCAACTTCCTGCTTCCGTTTCTGAGGAATAACTTCATGTGATCTTCTTCAGATGCAGTGAAACCAGAGGGAGACTCACCTGGACGGAGACAGGAACCAGTGGACACATTTTCCTTCAGTACCACAAGTTACATTCTGAGGTCTTTACAAAGTTAAAACTGTACTTTTTATTTCATTCTCTTTGCTCTTGAATCACTGTTTTTATTTTAAATGTTCTTCGGTAGAGAACTTTGAATTTCATTGTTGCTTTAATGTGTTTTATATATAAACTTGCATTAAAATATCAGAATTAGTGGCTTGTAGCAGAATATTCATGATGCTTTAATTATATCTGTGCTGCTACATTACTTGTGTGCATGTTGTAATTGAATAAATAAATTGCTTTTAAGAAACTCTGATCACCATCTTATCCAGTTTTTCTTCACCGGATTAAAGGACAAATGGAAGAAAAAACGATGAAAATGTCTTCAGACAGTTTCTGTAAAAAATGATGCCGTGGTGATTTCTTTGCGTTTTCATTTTGGGGCATTTTTTGGAGACTTAAATGAAGGGTGAATTAGCCTCTACTTTTTAATTTAAATACAATATCTTACTCACAAGTCCCACAACTAAGTGAGTATTTAAAAGCTACATCTGTAATGATTTGGTGGAATCTTTTAGTGAGATTGCAGCAGAGAGAACTGGGCTCAGAGTTTGAGGCTCAATGGCACATAAAGTAGTTTAATATGTAGAAAATACTATTGTACATTGTACCAGTTTCTACCAGTCAGTCAAAATGTTAATATCATTTATAACAGCAGCATGTAAAGTTCATTTATCATCAGACCTGAAGCGTTGATAATTAATATCAAGTGTCTGAAAAGCGCCTTAGAAGCACTCGCGGTGCACGATGCTGTGAGCGGCCTCGTCCTCCTGCTTGCTGATCCACATCTGCTGGAAGGTGGAGAAGGAGCCGCCGATCCAGGCAGAGTATTTACGCTCAGGAGGGACGACAATCTGCAGCAGAGGAGGAGGAGCTAATAATAATAATAATAATAATAATAATAATACCACATCACAACAGACACAAGGACGATAAGAACAACCAGTTATCACTGATAATATATTCAGCTTCTGAAACATATTATTTTATGATGTGAAAAACTAAGCAGTGAATATTTATCATTTACTATAAATGACAAATGCAGACGTCTATTTAAGAGCTGCTCTGCAGTTTGATTTGAAGATGAGACGGGAGGTCAGTCGTCCATCTTTAAGCAGGAGGAAGTGTAAATATAAATACACAATATCACATTGGGGGAAGGACATAGGAGACATGTCCCCTGCACCTTTTAAAAAACCCGTTTTGGTCCCCTGCTGTTTTTACCGTCCAAAAACAATGTTACGCTACGGTAAACAGAGACGGGTCAAGCACTAGGACCCAGCGGAAAAAGGGCCGCTCAAGCTGAAGCCTGTTTCCCTCAGTTTAGACCAGTGTTCATTTTGGCAGCTATTTCTGATTTAGTCTTAGGACGAAAAATGCATATTAGTTTTAGTCACATTTAGTCATTTTAATCCTTAGTTTTAGTCGAAAACTAGACTATAATGTAATTAGTTTTAGTCTCATTTAACAGCCATATTAAACTCCTTTTCTTCCCTTCTCAGGCCCAGGGACGCCCTGCGTTGTGTCTACAGCTGCATAATAGTCTAGCTTGCTGTACTTGGTTGTCCATCAGATGTCCCTCCTAGGACAGGTCTATAGATGTCCCTCCTAGGACAGGTCTATAGATGTCCCTCCTAGGACAGGGTTATAGATGTCCCTCCTATAGGACAGGTCTATAGATGTCCCTCCCATAGGACAGGTCTATAGATGTCCCTCCCATAGGACAGGTCTATAGATGTCCCTCCCAGGACAGGTCTATAGATGTCCCTCCCAGGACAGGTCTATAGATGTCCCTCCTAGGACAGGTCTATAGCAGGTCGGCAAACGTTTTGACTCGCGGCCACAATGGGTTGTAAAATGTGACGAAGAACAAATGGTGGAAGTGTTTGTGTGAGCTGATATAAATGACGTGTGAAACATCATTACATGAAAGGATTTGGATTTTAACAAATAGCAAAGTATTTATTTGCAAGGCAATTTAACAAATTGGCAAAGGTGTAACAACTTGATGAGGACCAGGGACCTAAACGCAACACTTTGTGGTCTTTGTCTGTTTACTTGCAACGCGTTTGACACTTCATGGTCCTTTATTGTTCACTCTGTCCCAACAAGAGAGACCTTAACGTCCTACAATCGCTGCAATACATTATTTTCTTGGCTTCAGAACCTGCAATGAGTTTATTACATTAGACGTGTGTTTGTGACGGAGCGTCTCATCCAGCGAGGAGACGCTGCCTGCCGTCGCCAGAGAACAGAGCAGAAAGGTCCGACGGTCTTTAAACGCGTCTTCATGTTTCTGTGAAGCAGCAGCTAACAGGCAGCTAACAAGCAGCTAACCCGAGACAGCTGAGCTAAACTAACGAAGCCACGTTCAAACTCGCCGAAGCGTAAAATAGTCGTCGCGGTCCGTAGTCGGTGCACAAGAACCACCGCTGCACCGCTGGGGGCGTTCTGGGTTCGTGGATGACGTCATGACGCGTTAATATCCGCCTGTTACGCCCCCTGGTGGCTCGACCCGGAGCGCAACATAAGGGCGACAGGTCAAGGCAAGTGAGGCGTTAGCCACACAGAATCCAATACACGAAACGTAACAAAGTATTTGTTTTTCAAAAGAGCAACACAGGGATCAACAAGGACTGTCAGTGGCACCAAGAAGAGAACATAAACAACCCCCCTCATTGACCGGTGCTTAGCACCCAAAAATACAGTGGGTGGTGCTCACTCTAGCCTAGGGTACTAACAACAGGTACACCTACGTGTAGCAATATGTAAACCCCGGAGTATCTTACCTGTCCTCATTGACCCTGTGCGCACAACCAAAAGATATCACAAAAACACCAGTAGGCTGTTACTAATTCAATTTTAACACAAGACAGTGGTCTTCAAACCGCGGGCCCAGCTCAACACAGAAGAGCCTCCCCACTGAGAACAAACATTGACTCTGTGAAGGGGAACGGTTGATGGGAGATCTGGAACAGGTGTGGTGATTGGATGAGGGGAACCAGGTGTGCACATCTGTGAAGTGAGAGAATGGAAACAGAAGGGGGAGACAAAACCAAACCAACAACACAAAACAGAACACCACATCTGTAGACCTACTACCCGTAGAGCACCGTACGTAACACCGCCGTACTTTGCCTGTCTGTTGTCTGTCAGCTGCGTGCGAATTCAGGGGGAAAAAGTATCGTGACTTCCTCAACCACCAACATGTTCGTCTCGTCTCGTTAACGAAAGTTAAGATTTAGTCATAGTTTTTATTTTTTAAGATCGTCTTAGTCTCGTCTTAGTCATGGAAAAAAGGTTCGTTAACAAATTATGTTCGTCAAATTTTGTCACTGGTTTAGACCCGCCCACCAGCTCCTCCATTGGCTCTGCTGTTGCGCGTGTGATTGGCCGTCCCCGCTGTCATCAGGTTGTAAACCGGTCTGCTAGTTGCCTCGAGGAGTCCCTGTTACTCCGCCACTGTAAGTGTGAAATAGGTGCTACTGAGTTGGAGTGAAGATGACTAACAAGGTGAAACACAGAATGATAATGTTTTGCTACATGCTTTACAACCAGTCAAACCAAAAAGGGAACAGTAGCAGTAGAAAACTAGAAGAACTGCTAGTTTGATTAAAAATACTTGTGCCCCCCCCCACTTCTGAAATCAAAATGAGTCCCTGGATACACACACGATCAGGGTGGATTTAATTCAGCAATAGAATAGAAGAGCACACTGAGAACTTAGGGGGAGAATATTCAGTCAACTTTTGTCTTTAGGTTCAAGCCAACGATAAACCTGAATGAGCAATAATCCAACATCCTGACAGGAAAATAAATGAACAGTAACAATCAGATTCACATGTGGACATCTCTTCATTTAGTGAGTAACACTCACTGAGTGACTTCAGCTTTCAGTCACATTCTAATACGTCCTTCTGCGTGAGAACAGTAACTTGTTCTTAAATATCTTATGCAGATAAATATTAAAGGGCTTAATCTGTGTCCATTGAACGAGTACTGCGTCATTGTGTCAGTGAGCAACACGCCCGCAGATACAGTAAAATACATATATATATATATATATATATATATATATATATATATATATTATGTGGCAACCAACGGGTGTGGGTGAAATCACAGGACTCGGATACACGACCAGCTGCACACAAAAAAAGGGTACGGTTTATTTTGACATACAAAAAAAGGGAAAAGGGCAAAATAGGTTCTTCCTCTTTTGAGGCCTCGGTTCAACAGGCTGTTCGGCCTTCAGTCCCCTTCCTGCGGGAAGCACAGAAAACAGGATTTACACTCATTCCAAAACCCCCCCAGCGTGAGGCCATCTCCTATACGTCTAGTTCCCCAGGCTGCATGAATGGGTGGTCCTTTATAGTGTGGGGGGGCGGGGGGGCGTTTCCCCTTCTCACCTGACCTCTGGCTCGTCGGTGCCCCAGACCTTGGTGCTGATCTCTTGAGGCGCTGTCCAGGGTGCTGCTTCGTGGGTTGCCACAATATAAAGAAGAATGTCATTCTCTCTGCTAACAAACATTGACGTAATACCTCTTCAGGCCAGAGCTCAGCTTCACCTCGTCCTTCTCATCTTCATGTTAAACTGGTGTGATGGGCTGCAGTCCGTATTCCACTTAATGAAAGCAAAGGTTCAGTTCATTGAAGGAGAAACGTGCTGCTCATCAATCCAGCACATTGTTTGTCCATCCAGACACTAATCTGGAAAACGCCTTTTGAAGTTACAGCAAAAGAAAACCAGGATGAAATTGAAGGTGATTATGATACGTTACACGTTTTTGACTACTGTTTTTCTGTTTTGTTTGTTTGTTTGTTTTTTACGTTCTGTGCTTCAAACCGATTTGAGTGTATTCCTCGTTAACACGTATTAGTTCTGAGGTATAATAACTTTAGGAGACATACCTCAGGCAGAACGTTGTTTTCATGCACGTTGGCGCCGTTGATGGCCGCCACGGTGCTTCGGTGCGCTTCGTTTGTTGTTGTTTTTGTTGTTAATTACGTTTCCTGCTGCGATTCCCGGAGCTCTTTCACCAGAGATGAGCTCTTGAACATCCGAGGAACAACTCCAGCGGAGTTACTTCCAACTTTCCTGCTTTCTTCCGTGGAATTACTGGACATTCTAGTCAAAGGTGCGCTCACCTTTCGTCACGCGGTGAGACGCCGTCGGAGAGGAAAACGAGCCGGCTCGCTGTGAGACTCCGCAGGCGTGGTTCTCGCACTCCGCTGCCGGGCATCTTTCTCTCCAACGTGCGCTCACTGTGCAACAAACTGGAGGAAATACAGCTGCTGGTGAGGAGAGACGGAGACTTCTCTACATCCTCCGTCTTGTGCTTCACGGAGACGTGGCTCTGCGGATCGATACCGGACTCCGCGCTCCAGCTGGCGGGCTTCCAGCTGCTCCGAGCGGACCGCGACACGGAGCTCTCCGGCAAGACGAAGGGTGGAGGAATCTGCTTCTACTCCAACAGCAGCTGGTGCAACGACGTAACGGTGATCCTACAACACTGTTCTCCTGATCTGGAAACTTTCTCCATCAACTGCAAACCCTTTTATTCCCCCCGTGAGTTCGCTTCATTCATCCTGGTCGGTGTTTACATGCCGCCGGCGAGCAACGTGCACGAGGCTCAGCGGACACTCGCCGACCAGATACGGCGTGTGGAGCGGACCAACCCGGACTCTTTAGTTATTGTCCTCGGGGACTTTAACAAAGGAAATCTCACCCATCAACTTTGCAAGTACAGACAGTTTATTAAATGCCCACCAGAGAGGAGAACACGCTGGATCATGTAGGATATTAGAAATAAACTGACGACCCGGTTCATAAAATGAATAAAATGCATATAGTGTACACCAGAATACAGCCATGATTCTGAAACTGTGTCACCAATAAAGTAATGACAATATTGTAAAACCTGTGATTGTAATACATATAGAACCACCATAAGATAGAACCACCATCACATAGGACCACCATCACATAGGACCCTCATCACATAGAACCACCATAAAATAGATCCACCATCAGATAGAACAACCATCACATAGAACCACCATGAAATAGATCCACCATC